TTAGCCCGGCTTGCCCGTCCCTTGCGCCCAGGCTTCCTCCCGCCTGCAGGGGTCGCTGCCTCGGCGGGTGTGCGCACGCGCGACCTAGCTCGCCTTCCTCCCGCCTGCAGGGGTCGCTTGCATCGGCGGCTGTGCGCACGCGCGACCCAGCCCGGCTTGCCCGTCCCTTGGGCCCAGGCTCCCTCCCGCCTGTAGGGGTCGCTGCCTCGGCGGGTGTGCGCACGCGCGACCTAGCTCGGCTTGCCCGCCTGCGCTGTAGCCGGGCCCGGGAAAAGGGGAGGGGGGAGAGACGGGCGCATGCGCGGAAGCTGCAAGCTAGCCTGCATCGGCCATGGCTGAGTGGGCGCCTGCCCAGGTGAGGGTCAGCAGTGCCCTCCCCACCGGGGGAGGGAGGGAGGGGGAGGGAGGAGGGGAGGGCCAAAGAGGGGGGGGTCCTGCTTGGCTTTTGCAGGGGGGGGCTCCAGAAGCCCCAGCTGGGCTGCTGCCTCTTTGGGGGAGCCCTGAAACCCCCCCCCTCCAATGAAAGGGGTGGTGGTGGCAAGAGGGCTCCTGAGCGTGTGCAGAGGGTCCCCGAGCAGGTGCAGCCTTGACAGCATTGGCGGGTTGGAGGAGGGGAGGGGAGGGGAGGGGGGGAAGGAATGCCGGCCCCCTGCTCCCTGCTGGCCCCCTCCCCTTTGCACGCCCCAAAGGGTTATTATTGCACTCTGCACGTGCTCAGGGACCCTCTGGCCCCTCCCAACGCGCGATGCACAAAGCCCCCGTTTGGGGAGAGGGTCTGGACAGCATTGAGGGGGTGGGCAAGGGGGGCCCCTGAGCATGTGCAGAAGGCACAGCCCTAGCCCCCATTTGGGGAGGGGGCAGTGGGGGGTGGGGGCAGCAGGCGGGATCCCTCTTGGGAGGGGCTGCCAGAGGGTCCCTGTTTGGGGGGGGTCCCCTGGGAGGATGGCAGCCCCTGCGGAAGGCGTTGGGGGCGGGGGCAAGAGGGCTCCTGAGCACGTGCAGAGTCTGCTCAGCCTTTGCGGGGGGGGGAGAGTGGATCCCTGCCTGCTGCTCCCGCCTTGCCCCCTCCCCAAAGGGGGGCTTTGCGCGTGCCCCCCCTCCCGGGGCTCTGCACTCTGCACGTGCTCAGGGACCCTCGTGCCCCTCCCAACGCACGATGCACAAAGCCCCCGTTTGGGGGAGAGGGCAGGAAGCCTTTGACAGCGTGGAGGGCGGGAGCAAGAGGACTCCTGAGCACGTGCAGAGTCTGCTCAGCCTTTGTGGGGGGGGGGAGAGGGAGTGGATCCCTGCCTGCTGGTCCCAGCTTGCCCCCTCCCCAAAGGGGGGCTTTGCACGTGACCCCCCCCGGGGATTAGCACTCTGCACCTGCTCAGGGACCCTCTTGCCCCTCCAGTGCACCATTTGGGGAGGGGGCAGGATCCATCTTGGGAGGGGGGAGAGCTGTCCGAGGGCCCCTAATTTTGGGGGGGGAGGGTCTCCTGGGGAAGGGATCGCCTTGGGTTCCTGAGCACGTGCAGAGTCCGCTCAGCCTTTGACAAGAGGGGCAAGAGGGCCTCTGAGCATGTGCAGAAGGCACGGCCCGGCGGCCTGGAAAAAGCCCCCATCGGGCAGGGGCCGGTGAAGGGGGGATCGCGGGACCTCCGGGAGGCTGCGACGGTCATACGTACGAGGCGGTTGCCAAGCGCCCGAATTTTGAGGCGAGGGTCGTTAAGTCTGAAAAACGGGTCCTAGGTTACGTTTTTCAGGGCCGTTGGAACTTGGAACAGTCACTAAACGAACCGTCGCAAGCCGAGGACTGTCCGTAGGACCCAGTTGCCAAGTGTCTGAATTTTGATTGGGTGACCACGGTCGTAAGTGCGGAAAAACGGTCCTAAATCGTTTTTTTCTTGTAACTTCAAACCGTCGCTAAACGAACCATCGTAAGTCGAGGACTATATGAGCCAGTGGCCTGAATTTTGATCAGCTGACCACGGTCGTAAGTGCGGAAAAACGGTCCTACATCGTGTTTTTTTTCTTGTAACTTCAAACTATCACTAAACGAGCCGCCGTAAGTCGAGGACCACCTCTATGAGCCAGTGGCCTGAATTTTGATCGGATGACCACCGTCGTGTGGAAAAAACGGTCCTAAATCTGGTTTTTTCTCATAACTTCAAACCATTGCTAAACGAACTGTCGCAAGTCGAGGACTATCCGTATGAGCTGGTGGCCTGAATTTTGATCACTAAATGAGCCGCCGTAGGTCGAGGACCACCTCTATGAGCTGGTGGCCTGAATTTTGATCCGCTGACCACGGTCGTGTGAAAAAACGGTCCTACATCGTTTTTTTTTCTTGTAACCTCAAACCGTCACTAAATGAACCATCGTAAGACAAGGACCACCTCTATGAGCTGGTGGCCTGAATTTTGATCGGCTGACCACGGTCGTAAGTGTGAAAAAACGATCCTACATCGTTTTTTTTTCTTGTAACCTCAAACTGTCACTAAGTGAATCGTCGTAAGACGAGGACCACCTCTCTGAGCCAGTGGCCTGAATTTTGACTGGCCGTAAGTGCGGAAAAACGGTTCTTAATTTGGGGTTTTCTCGTAATGTCCAACCGTCGTTAAACGAACCGTCGTAAGTCGAGGACTGAGCCAGTGGCCTGAATTTTGATCACTAAACGAACCGCTGTAAGTCGAGGACTCCCCATACGCATGTTCCCCCCCCAACCGACCCTTCGCCGCGTGTTCGCCGAGCGCGGGTGCCGAGTTCTAATCTCACCCCCACCCCGTTTTTCCTCCCTCCAGGCATGGGAATGGGAGGCGGAGCCCCAGCACCTCCCGCCCTTCCAGCCTCCCGCCCTTTTCGACCAATCGGCCGAGCGGGAGATCTACCCGGCGGCCGAGATCTCCCTCTGGACGGTGGTGGCCGCCATCCAAGCGGTCGAGCGGAAGGTGGACACCTCGGCCGCCCGGCTGCTCAACCTGGAAGGCCGGATGGCCACCGCCGAGAAGAAGGTTTTCGAGTGCGAGAAAACGGAACTCGAACTCGGCAACCACCTGGCGGCCCTGGGCGCCCTGATCCAGGAGTACCGGGGGCTCCAGCGGCGCCTGGAGAACATGGAGAACCTGCTGAAAAACCGCAACTTCTGGATCCTCCGGCTCCCCCTGGGCCCGCGGGGGGAGATCCCCAAGGTAAAGAAAGGCACGAGAAGGAACGCCGGGTGCGAATTCTGCCGGCGCCTGGCCCAGCCGGGCACAGCGTCGTACCCTGCGCGTACGATACGGGCGGCTTACTTGGTCCTGTATAGAGCAGGGTCTCCAACCTGGGGCAGCTTTTTAAGACTTCTGGACTTCAACTCCCAGAATTCCTCAGCCTACGTGGCTGGGTGAGGGATTCTGGGAGTGGAAGTCCTCCCCTCTTAAAGCATGCCGGCTGGGGGATTCTGGGAGTGGAAGTCCTCCCTCATAAGGCATGCTCACTGGGGGATTCTGGGAGTTGAAGTCCTCCCCTCTTAAAACATGCTCACTGGGGGATTCTGGGAGTTGAAGTCCTCCCCTCTTAAAGCATGCTCACTGGGGGACTCTGGGAGTGGAAGTCCATCCCTCTTAAAACATGCCGGCTGCGGGATTCTGGGAGTTGAAGTCCACCCCTCTTAAAGCATGCCAGCTGGGGAATTCTGGGAGTTGAAGCCCATCCCTCTTAAAGCATGCTCACTGAGGGATTCTGGGAGTTGACGTCTGCCCCTTTTAAAGCATCTTGGCTGGGGGATTCTGGGAGTGGAAGTCCATCTCTCTTAAAGCATGCTCACTGGGGGATTCTGGGAATTGAAGTCCATCCCTCTTAAAGCATGCTCACTGGGGGATTCTGGGAGTTGAAGTCCACCCCTCTTAAAGCATGCTCACTGGGGGATTCTGGGAGTTGAAGTCCACCCCTCTTAAAACATGCCGGCTGGGGGATTCTGGGATTCTGCTTTTAGGTGCCGGTGACGTTTGACGAAGAGGAGGCCGTGAATTTTTCCAGCCTGGAATGGGCCCAACTGGAGGACTGGCAGAAGGAGCTTTACCGGAACATCACGAGAGGGAACTACAAGCCGCTGGTCTCGTTGGGTAAGGGCTGGCTTTACGGGGACGGGGAATTTGTATCCTTGCTGTCGGGTCAGGGGGATTCCACAACCTATGAGCCACAGCCCGCTACCGGTTCCACAGAGGTGGAACCATCTCCTCTCCCCTCGCCGAACTACTAAAAGTTTGGGGGAATTCGGCTTCGGACTATAGATTGTCCGGGCGCCCGAAATTTGCGTCGCTAAGGAAAACCGTCATTCGGTAAACCTTACCCCCTTTTTACGACTTTCCTTCCCACGCGGGTGACGTGAATCGCTGCGGTGGTGGTGAGTTCTAGTCCTGCCTTAGGCATGAAAGCCAGCTGGGTGATTTTGGGCCAATCACCAGGAGACGGTGAGTTCTAGTCCCGCCTTAGGCATGAAAGCCAGCTGGGTGACTTTGGGCCAATCACCAGGAGATTGTGAGTTCTAGTCCCGCCTTAGGCAGGAAAGCCAGCTGGGGGACTTTGGGCCAATCACCAGGAGACTGTGAGTTCTAGTCCCGCCTTAGGCAGGAAAGCCAGCTGGGTGACTTTGGGCCAATCACCAGGAGACGGTGAGTTCTAGTCCCGCCTTAGGCATGAAAGGCAGCTGGGTGACTTTGGGCCAATCACCAGGAGACTGGGAGTTCTAGTCCCGCCTTAGGCAGGAAAGCCAGCTGGGGGACTTTGGGCCAATCACCAGGAGAGGGTGAGTTCTAGTCCCGCCTTAAGGCATGAAAGGCAGCTGGGGGACTTCGGGCTACTCTCTCTCTCTCTCTCTCTCTCTCCCTCCTTCTCCTCCTCCCTTCTAGCACTGATGCCGTTCCCTAGTTGGCTGCTGAAACGTCTCGGCTAACCCTCTCCTCTTTCTTTCCGTTTTTCCAGACTCTGCCATGGCCCGAGCCGACCTCCTCCCCCCACCCCAGGCGGCTCCGGGGGGAGCGCCCCACGTGGTGGACCAGCCCCCGGCGGGGCGGAAGGGGCTCCCCCCGGCGCCCAAGACAGGTGCGTGGAACCGCGGCGATTTCGCCCCGCCATCGTCTCTCCCGATCTCGGGTTTGTTTTCAAATCCCGGTGTGATCGTCTCCGGTTGTTCTTCCCAGCCCCGTTTCCCCCCTCCCCGAGAAAAGGGTGCAAGGGAGGCAAGAATCGTAGACTCTTAGGGCCGAAAGGGACCTCGGAGGTCTTCTAGTCTGACCCCCCGATCAGGATGGTTTGCCTGGCTGGGTTTGGGAAGAAGGCGGGAGGGGCTGGGAGCAGACCTGCCCTCCCCTTCCCACTGCGGGCCAAGAACGGGGGGAACCTTGCATCTATCGGGGTCCCCTAGAGAGAGGTTAGTAGGTCCCGACGGTCTCAAAAAAGTGAGGGGGGGGTACAGACGGGCCTGGGTCTCTTGGCCTAGAAACCGCCGTCCTTTTTTTCCTTTCCCAAACGTTCCCGGGGTGAGATTCGCACCCGTCGCTAGGCTTCAGCCTCCGGGATGCCTCTGGCTGTCCGGCGGCGTTTGGGAAACTGACCTCGGTGCTCTCTGAGCTTGGAGATATTGGGGGGATGTTTCCTTTGCAGACGTTTCGCAACCCAACTAGGTAATGTGCAGCCAGCTCAGAGAGCACCAGGGACCCCACAATCCTTCCTTCCTTCCTTCCTTCCTTCCTTCCTTCCAGCACTGATGACGTTCCCTAGTTGGGTCATGAGACGTCTGCAAGGAAACCACCCAGCTCAGAGAGTCCGAGGACCCCACAGTCCTTTCCTCCTCCTCCTCCTCCTCCTCCTCCTCCTCCTCCTCCTCCATCATCCTTGTAGCCCTGATGATATTCCCTAGTTGGGTCATGAAACGTCTGTAAGAAAAAAAACCAAACTTGGCGACCACCAAGGACTCCACTGTCCTCCTCCTCCTTCTCCTCCTCCTCCTGCCTTCTAGCACTGATGGATGTTCTCTAGTTGGGTCATGAAACGTCTGCAAAGACCCCCACAGTTCCTCCTCCTCCTCCTCCTCTATCTCCTCCCCCTCCTCTTGTTTCTAGCACTGATGATGTTCCCTAGTTGGGTCACGAAACGTCTTCCAGAAATCCACCCAGTTCAGAGAGCACCAGGGACCCCACAGTCCTTGCTCCTCCTCCTCCTCCTCCTCCTCCTCCTCCTCTCCACATACCCCACTCCCTTCTAGCACTGATGATGTTCCTTAGTTGGGTCGTGAAATGTCTGCAAGGAAACTATCAAACTCAGAGACCCCCAAGGACGCCACAATCCTCCTCCTCCTCCCTTCTAGCACTGATGATGTTCCCTAGTCGGGTCATGAAACATCTGCAAGGAAACCAGCCAAGCTCAGAGAACGCCAAGGACCCCACAGTCGTCTTCCTCCTCCTCCTCCTCCTCCTTTTCCCTCTGTCCTCCCCCTCCTCTCCTTCTTTCCAGCCCTGATGACATTCCCTAGTTGGGTCACGAAACATCTTGCCGGGAGACCACCCAGCTCAAGAGAGCCGTGGGGGCCTCTCCTTCGAACCCCGAGCTAGACATGTTCTCCTCCGTCGGGACCCACCCTGTGATCCTTCCTCTTCCCAAACAGCCGAAGCGTTGGCTTCCAAAGACGACCTCTTGTCCTGGATCAAGCAGGAGGAATCTGCCGGTCCCGGGAAGTGGAATCTGGAGAGGGAAATCCCGGCCCCCCTCGGCTACGGTGAGTGTGGCCCACAAGGCTAGCTTCCTAAAAAAAAAAAAAAGGCAGACGCCCTCTCTCTCAAAAGCCTGCGGACAGGGGGATTCTGGGAGGGAGTCTCTCTCTCTCTTCAAAGCGGGCTGGCTGGGGGCTTCTGGGAGTCGAGGTCCACCTACCTTTCCGTGCCCGAGCTTGAGCAACATGCCTCTATGACATTTGTCGTCCTCCGCTCCAGAATCTCTCCATTGAAGGATTCCCTTTGATTTGGATTCTTTCAAGGGTATGTGTGTGTGTGTGTGTGTGAGAGAGATTGCAACGGCACCGGTTTCTGTCCCTTCCCGCAAAGAAGCTCTAACTCAGGCTGTTCCCCCCCCCCCCGCTTCTCTTTTCCCCCCCTCCAGAGGAGAGTACACCGGTCAAAACCGAGGAACAGCAGCTCCAAGAAAGTTTGAAACAGACCTTTCCCGCCCGGCTCCAGGCAACTCCCGGCGACGTCGTCTTACAGGCGCCCCGATGCTGCCAGAGGCAAAGCTGCCTGCAGAGTCAACCTGTCCCTCCTCCTCTTACTACTCCTACTCCTATTACTCCTACTCCTACTACTACCACTACCCAAAAGCCACCCCACCCCAGTGAGAGAACCTGCCCGGATCCCGAGGCCGCCCCACCAACGACCTGCTTGAAGGAAGGACAGCTGAGATGCTTCAAGGGTCCGGAGGAGTTTTCCTCGCCCCCGAGGGTCCCCGCAGGAGAGGAAGGGTACGGGGAAGGGGTCAGGCCGGTGACCGAATCCGGGCTCTCCCAGATCCCCGAGCCCTACCTGTGCCCGGAGAGCAACGGCAGCTTCGGCGACGTGCCCGTCTCCGAAACGGCCGGAGGGCCGCACGCCTGTTCCCTCTGTCCGAAAAGCTTCCGGCTGAAGACCAGCCTGTTGATCCACCAGAAAACGCATGCCGTGGAGAAGAGCGACAGCCCCTTTGTCTGCGCCGAGTGCGGCTGCGGCTTCAGCCACCAGGCCCAGCTGACGCGCCACCAGGCCGTCCACGCCGACCGGCCGCACCAGTGCTCGGAGTGCCACAAGGCCTTCAACCGCAAGTCCAGCCTGGTGGTCCACCAGAAGACCCACCGCGAGCGGCCACGGCCCTTCCAGTGCCCCCAGTGCAGCAAGACCTTCATTCGGAAGCAGCACCTGGACGACCACACCCGCACCCACACGGGGGAGAAGCCCTACCAGTGTCCCGAGTGCGAGAAGCGCTTTGCCGAGAAGTCCAAGCTGACCAACCACTACCGCATCCACACCGGAGAGCGGCCATACCGCTGCGGGCAGTGCGACAAGCGCTTCGTGCGGGCCCACCACTTGGTCAAGCACCAAAGCAGCGTCCACCAAGCCGGGGCCAAGCTCTACTCCTGTCGGGAGTGCGGGCAGAGCTTCAGCCACGCCCAGGCCTTCCTCAGCCACCAGGCCGGCCACGGCAACGGCGAGAGGCGTCACCGTTGCACCGAATGCCTCAAGACGTTTGCCCGCCGGAAGTACCTGCTGGAACACCAGCGTATGCACACGGGAGAGAACCCGTACGCCTGCCCACACTGCGGCAAGCACTTCCGGTACAAGCAGTCCCTCAAGCAACATCTGCGCATGCACAGGGAGCCGCCGCCGCTGCCCCCGCCGCCACTACCGTCTGGGCCTGCTCTGCCAGTCATCAACCCCTTGGAGAAGGACCCTCTCTTGGAGGCCAACCCACCCAGTGGAACTTGAAGCTGGGCCACGAGAAGTGGTCTTCTACGCCAAACGAACCGCTGCGCTAGAATTGGCACGCTGGCGGGTCAGCTGAGGCCTTCGATGCTGCTTCTCTCCCTGTGGGGAGGTTTCCTTCTTGCTTGCTGATCAGGACCGTGTGGGGCAGGCTCTCGTCCTGTGGAGAAGCCCAGCTCCCAGCCATCAAAAGACACCAGTTCTCTGAAATATTTCTTTGTGATCGAAATGGCTGCCCCAAAGACTCTCGCCGTCCTGCACTGTAGTCGGAGGAGCTGCGAGTCCTGGCTGAACGAAACACAACGGAACCAACAAAAAAAAAAAAATTGCGACTAAAACGTGATCGTGTCCACTTACCTTCTTGGTCCCGTTGCCCGGTCCCAGCACGGGAGGCCAGCCTGCTGGAGTGGGTGTGCAGCTACACCCCAAGGCCATGGTTTCCTTGCCTGCGGAGGAAGAAAGACACTGACCCCGAGGTGGCCTCCGATTTTCTGGCTTTGCCCTCCACACCCTTCGCTAGACGATCAGAGGAGCGTTTGAAAACAGTTTGGGTACTGAGGGTGCTGCAAACCTTTCAGGGGCTGAACCAGTCCCCCCCTCAAAAAAACCCAAAAACAACCCCACGAAAGACAGCCAGAAAATTGGAATTGACTGTCTCCTGCCGCCTGCCTCTCTTTCTCCGGACGGCCACGCAGGGTAGCTGTCCGCGGTCAAACTTCGGAACAGTTCCACCCTCTCTGGTCACTCCGTCCTTATTTTGCTGCTGTCGACCGACCTGCGTTGTCGAGCTCCTGGTTTACCGGTTTCCTGCCGGCGCCACCCTACGCCAAAACGCTTTCGCCGAAAGGCCCGGCTGTGGTTTTCCATTCAGTATGTTTCGTTGGCGAGACGCCGACAGACAGGGACGTAAAATCTCGCGTTCTGCCCTGTCTTTCCAAGTTCTTTCTCACCAGGATGTAGCCGTGACGTCATTTTTTCCAGTTCTGAAAATCCTTCCCCCACCCCAAAAAAACCCAGGGTTCGGCAAGGGACCCGTCAAAGCTGCACTTGTAAGCCGAGACCCCCAACCCACTTTCGTACTAGGCTCTCGCTGCCTTAAATCCAACTGCACTACAGGTAATCCGTTTAGTGCGGGGGGGGGCAACCTTAAACACTCAAAGAGCCACTTGGACCCGTTTTCCACAGAAAAGACAATACTGGGAGCCACAAAACTCATGCGCGCGTCAGAAAGGAGGAGGCTTGATTGAAGTGTTTAATTAAAAAGAAATACAGGTTACTGTGCATGAGTTCTCCCTCTCCCGTCTCTTTCCCTTTCTCTCTCTCTCTCTCCCTTTTTCTTCTCCCTCTCTCTTTCCTCTCTCCCCCCCTCTCCCCCTCTTTCTGATCTTCTGCTAACCTAGCAAGCTGGCTTCACGCTGTTGTCCGACAAGCTGACACACATTTTATTGGGCTGGCTCTCCTGCCCTTGGTCTGCCAGTCCTCTTCCCCCACTCAGTGTGAGTGTGTGTGTGTGTGAGAGAGAGAGAGAGAGAGCTACTGCTTTCTGCTGCTTCCTTCCTGCGGAGACGCATCAAAGGCAGGAGCCCCGCCCAATAAGTTTGTCAGCTTGTCGGAGAACAGCATGAGGCCACTCTCTTTTTTACACAGACCCACACACAGAGAGAAGGAGAGAGAGAGAAGGGAAGTGCAAGTGTCTCTGTGCAAATGGAAGACTGGGAGCCGCAGGAGAAGGCCCAAAGAGCCATGTGCGACTCCGGAACTGCGGGTTGCCAACCCGTGGTTTACTGACTGTCCGAAATTACAACGGTTACTGAAAAAAATGACTCGTGACTGTTTTTCGCACGACCGTTGCAGCATCCCCGTGGTCACGGGATCAGAATTCAGACGCTCAACCACAGACTCGTATTTATGACGGTGGCAGTGTTCCGGAGTCATGTGGGCCCCCTTTTGCGACCTCCTGACAAGCAAAATCGGAGTCGTCGGTTACAAGATGGGCGGGAAATTTTCTAAATCATTAAATGAATGAGTGAATGAATAAGAAATCAGAAAAAGTCAGATTCACAACAGCCGTGTTGCTAACTTAACAACGGCATTGATTCCTGGGGGGGTCTTCAAACTTGGCCCTTTGGTGACTTGTGGACTTCCAACTCCCAGAATTCCTCAGTCGGGCATGCCGGCTGAGGAATTCTGGGAGTTGAAGTCCACAAGTCATCAAAGGGCCAAGTCTGAAGGCCCCTGCCGTTAACTACTGTAGCAAGAAAGATTGTAAAACGGGGCGAAACTCAATATTTGTCTTGCTCAGCAATGGAAATATCGGCCCCGGTTGTGGTCGTTAAGTCGAGGACTACCTGTGTTATCAAAAACAAAGCTGGGGGGTTCTGGGAGTTGAAGTCCATGCAATCTTTAAAGTTTGTGAGGGTTTCTGGAGGCAGACCGGGGCGAACGATCTCCAGCATTTTTGCTACAAACACCTTTGAGATTTTTAAAGCGAAGAAACACCGAAGAGACATTAATAAACGATAAATATCCCCCCCTTTGGATATAATGTGGTAAGTGGTTCTGAAGCCGCGCACGAGCAAGCTAGATTGTCCATCCCATACTCTGGCATGAAGGGATATCGGCCCCGGTTCTCACCTCATTCCCAGGCACCCAAAAACTGCAGACACTGTGGAGCGGTGTACGTAGGGGGGAGGGAGAGCGTTCTGGCAACTCTAACCCTCAACTTACCAATTGCTAGCAAGTCTGTCCCTGCTCCGTTCTATGTCTGTTGGCCAAAACAGCGAGGCACGGCTTCCTAAGGCCCCGATACAGGTTAATCCTCCATTTACGACAAGTCGCAGAGCAGCCGTTTGAAGTTACAACATTCCTCGAGAAGGGAACTTGCGACTCGGATCCAAAGTTCCAGCAATAGCACTTGTGCATGGTCACACGGTCACGCGCCCTCGGCAACGTGGCCGCGTTGACAGCTATTTGCAGCATTCCACGGACACGACCGCATTCGACAAAAGGTTTTGTTGAAAACTGGCACTTACATTTCCACTTTTCGGCAAAACGGTACCATGTAGCGAACGAGGGATTTGCTTACATGGCGTGGACCAAATAATATATGGACCACACATATATAGAAACACACATACACACACTCATATACTTTGTCTACAATCAAGGGGGAAAATATAACGAGGAAGAGACCACTTGGTTTAGTGGTTAAGACACCAGAAGATTGGGAGTTCTAGTCCCATCTTAGATGTGAAAGTCGGCTGGGTGACTTTGGGTCAGTTACCAGGAGATGGTGAGTTCTAGTGCCACCTTAGCCATGAAAGTCAGTCACCAGGAGATGGCGATTTCTAGTAACGCCTTAGGCACGAAAGCTGGCCAGGTGACTTTGCGCCATTCCTGGTCATTGGCCCCAAGTTACCCATATCATCTTTATGGTTTAAGGCGGCACTAGAATTCTCTGTCTCCTGGTAATCGGCCCAAAGTCACCCAATCGGCTTTCATGACTAAGGTGGGACTATTTATTTATTTATTTATTTATTGCATTTATATCCCGCCCTTCTCCTTACGGACTCAGGGCGGCTGACAATTGAATAAAATACTAACATATATACATACTTAATTAAAATTGTCTCCTGGTGATTGGCCCAAAGTCACCCAATTGGCTTTCATGACTAAGGTGGGACTAGAACTCGTCTCCTGGTGATTAGCCCAGTCACCCAATCGGCGTTCATGACTAAGGTGGGACTAGAACTCACTGTCTCCTGGTGATTGGCCCAAAGTCACCCAGCTGGTTTTCACGTCTAAGGACTAGAACGCACGGTCACCTGGTGATTAGGCCAGTCACCCAATCGGCGTTCATAACTAAGGTGGGACTAGAACTCCTCGTCTCCTGGTGATTGGCCCAGTCACCCAGTTGGCTTTCATGCCTAAGGACTAGAACTCACTGTCACCTGGTGATTGGCCCAAAGTCACCCAATTGGCTTTCATGACTAAGGTGGGACTAGAACTCGTCTCCTGGTGATTAGCCCAGTCACCCAATCGGCGTTCATGACTAAGGTGGGACTAGAATTCCTTCTCTCCTGGTGATTGGCTCAGTCACCCAGTTGGCTTTCATGCCTAAGAAGGACTAGAACTCACTGTCACCTGCTGATTGGCCCAAAGTCACCCAATCGGCTTTCATGACTAAGGTGGGACTAGAACTCACTATCTCCTGGTGATTAGCCCAAAGTCACCCAACCGGTTTTCACGCCTGAGGCGGAACTAGAACTCACTTGTCACCTGGTGATTGGCCCAAAGTCACCCAATCAGCTTTCATAGCTAAGGTGGGACTAGAACTCACTGTCTCCTGGTGATTGGCCCAAAGTCACCCAGCTGGCTTTCATGCCTGTGATGGGACTAGAACTCTCTGTCACCTGGTGATTGGCCCAAAGTCACCCAATCGGCTTTCATGCCTAAGGTGGGACTAGAACTCACTGTCTCCTGGTGATTGGCCCAAAGTCACCCAATCGGCTTTCATGGCTAAGGTGGGACTAGAACTCACTGTCTCCTGGTGATTGGCCCAAAGTCACCCAATCGGCTTTCATGCCTAAGGTGGGACTAGAACTCACTGTCTCCTGGTTTCCTGGCCAGACATCTTTGCACAATTACGTGCAGGCTATTAAAACAACTATTTTAACAGCAGACCAATAGATAAGCAATCTTTGCTTAGTGACCGTCATTGGGACCAACAACTTGGTCACTAAGTAATGCGGACCAGAAGTGGGGGGAGGGAAAAAAATCACAATTTTACATTTTTTTCCCATTCGTGTGCAATTTTCACTCACAATTTTTACTCCTTCCGTTCGTAAGGCAATTTCTTTTCTCCTTCAATGAACCAGGCTATGTTTTTGAATATCTTAAAACATCTTTATTTCTAAAGAAGTCAATTTCATCCTCCAACGAACGGAACTTCATTTCCAATACTTTAAAATGTCTCTGATCGAACGTGTAATTATTATTATTAT